ATCGTCTGCATCTGTTTAACAGGGAGATGATGTCATACTCGAGGCAGTGTCTTCTCTCTCTGCATCAGAGGAAGAGGAAGTTGAGGAGGCCGGAGACAGCGAGAATGACATCAGAGAGCTCAAGGCACGACGCCATGTCCTTGCCAATAAACTGGCACAGCAACAAAAGCGAAGGGATAAAATAAAGGTAAAACAGGCTTTCACGTCCTAATATAGTAGAGTCTGAAGTTGTCGCAGAGTTGAATGTCATGTAAAATATAAATGTGTGTGTTCCAGGAGGTGCTGCAGACTGGCGGGCAGTTGGAGCTTGAAGTGAGGCCTCTCTTTCTGGTTCCAGATACAAATGGATTTATTGATCATTTGACAGGGCTGAAGAAACTCCTGCAGTGTGGAACATACATAATAGTTGTGCCACTCATCGGTAAGAATAACAAACACAGACAAAGAGAAGAGGAAATGAATAAAAGCAGGTGGAGGAGGATTAGCTTTTAGTTCAGTGACATTTAAAATGATAAGGATTCCACATACATTTCCATGTAGAAATCATATGTATGCTCATGACGTGGTCTGTTTTCTCTCTGTCAGTGATTACAGAGTTGGATGGCTTGGCTAAAGGCCAGGACAGTTTTGGTGGAGGAGTGGAGTCAGGAGGGCGCAACTATAGTGTCAGTGCGGCCCATGTGAGGGCTGTGCAGGAGAAGGCTCGGATGGCGGTGGCTTTCTTAGAAAAAGGATTCGAAGCCAGAGAACAGTGCCTCAGAGCTCTAACAAGCAGAGGAAATCAACTTGAGTCTATTGCCTTCCGTAGCGAGGATATGTCTGGGCAACAGGTAGAAACCCAGATTAATTAAATACAAATTAAAGCCTGTTTCTTTTGCTTAGAAGCAAAGGTTGGCTTCTTAAATCTGCTGTTTTTTGCTAACTGAATGGTCTCTTCCTTTTCAGGGTAACAATGATGATATTATTCTGTCCTGCTGTCTTCACTACTGCAAAGACAAGGCTAAAGATTTCATGCCTCATCAGAGAAGTATGTAGCATTAACCTACCATTTGCTCCATGTGTGCATTCATATTTCCTCACATTCATGCATATGCATTAAAAAGTGTTTATTTCTTACTCCTCTCTGGCTTCCTGCTTCAAAAACAGATGGCACCGTGAGGCTCCAGAGAGAAGTGGTACTCCTCACAGATGACCGTAACCTCCGTGTCAAAGCTTTGACCCGCAACGTACCTGTGCGAGACATCCCTTCTTTCCTCAGCTGGGCCAAAGTGGGCTGAACCAGAGTAAGCCTAAATACAAGGAACCCAACTGCTGAAGTCTGCTTGTCAGTCAGCCAAGACAGAAGACACACTTGAGCGGAGGAAGATAACAGGGGACAGGAAATGATAAAGAAAGTAAAGAACCACTTCTTATGAAAAACAAGCAAATGTAGAGAGAGCAGAGTGGTTTCAATTAGCTTTTCCCCCTTGTGACAAAGTAAGTGTGTGTATGTGTGTGTTAAGATCAGAGAGCTTCCCTGGAGAGAGGCAGGAAAGACTTAAGTCTCAGAAAGGCTGGAGTGGAAAGGAGGAAGGAGGAAAAATGGAGTGAATTGATTTGTAGGTTGCCCTGTCCAGCCGCAAACCTCTGCTCCTATAAATCGTATGCTCTGCAGGCAGTGTTAAAATTTGAATCTGATGATAGAATGAGCCAGAATGGGGGAAGAGTGTCTATGGTCATTTAATTGATTAAAGACAGCATCACTGAAGGCCATAAATGGCACTTGTACCCCTCTCTGAGGGCCCAGGCTTAGATAAAGCTTCAGCCTAAACAGCAGAGCTAAGAGAATGGCAGGAGGAAATGGCCACAGCTGGGTGGTCTGTGTCAATACAGTTAAAAAAAAAAAAAAAAGCAGCTGATATTAGGTGGGGGGGGGGGGGGGGGGGGTTAATCAGGAGCCTTCATGCAAACTCAGCACTTCCACGGAATCCCATGCAGATATGGCATTTCCTGCTAACCCAGGAAATGCTTGATGCCTGTTTGGTATCTTGGGTTATTCCTCCAGATTGACACTAACAGTTTTTGTTTGTTTTTGTTTCTTTGTAAAGTCAACGGCAACATCGGATATGGTTTAGTCTCCTGTTTGTACTTTTTTTTAAATTTTTATTTTAATTTTTTTTTTACCTGTTGTAAAATATGTTGTTCTTAAAAGCTGTTAGCTCTGATAATAAACATCTGCAAAGTTTTCCTAAAAAGATCTGCTAATTAAGCAAATCCAGTTTTAATTTAAGTCAGGGTGAAAATAGAGTTATAAGTACTCCGAGAGCATCATTTTATTGATCAAACATCAGCACCGACTCGAGCCGTTGAAGACAAATTAGACGCTATTCTGAAATCCACATAAATCTGTGTGATGGAATTTGTGCTCATACAAATATAATGGGAAGGGCTTTGATTCCCTGGCACAAAAGGGGAGTAAATAAAAACTCAGACATCAGAAACCATCACCCTTTTTGTCAAATTGTCATTTTGTTGCTTTGAAGGTTGGATTTGTTTGTTTTGTGTTAGGTTTTCAGTTCTAGAAAATAGGATTTCATTTAAGTGGCATTCGGCCCATATATGGCTTTAAACAATATGAAGCACAGGATTACAAACGCTCGCTGACCCGGCCCATCGTGTGTCATGCTCTGATCCTTTGCAAAGACTTTGCAGGATTTTTATTATCAAGTATAGACTTGTGAATTTATTTGTGCTGTTTTGTTTAAACCACCGCAGCAGGTTACGATTTCAGTAGCTTTCCTCTCATTACATTATTTGTATAGTTAGTGTTCTTATTTTCAGTGTGAATTTGCCTTTCAGTTTACAAGCACGCTTTTCTAGTAGCTGAAATACATAAACATAGGTTTCAAAATTACCGTGAAAATCAGGCGGCAGACATGTAACAAAAAAACAAAGAAAAAAAGTGTTGTGCTTTTTGTTGTAGCTTTAAAAGACAGTCTGGATGCTTTAGATTTGTATTTGTGTCACAATATATGTCAGAAACTACACTTATTCATCATTCACTCATCCCAGTTCAGATCTTTGGATTTAAAATGTTATTGAACTTCTTTCCGTCTTCCATCGCTCATTGACGTTTATGTATTTGTATGAGCTGTCTGCTAGGTTTACTCGTCTTTTTCAGACCCTCTGTTTTGGTGCTGCTGTAGTATTAAGTGCAGCCTGTTGTGTTAAGTGGGCATTGCTGCTGTGTTTTAGTGTTGGAGCAAATGTAGTGCTGTAAGCAGCTTAACTCAAATGACTTTTCCCTTCATCCGTCATTAAAAATGTTTTAAAGGCTTTGTTTTCACCTCATTGGCGAGCAGATGAAGAATGCCAGGATGTAGAATATGTTTTTCTTGGCCTGTAATGAACAGACAAGGTAACATCCTCCTAGCAATGACTAGCAGTGCCTCCATTGTTAGAGTCTGCCAGTATGTGTACAATGCCAAGACCCTGAAACTGAACAAACTAAATGCAGATCATTGATTTTCTTCTTCATACATGAGATTCGAAGAATGTCTGTATTTAGGGGTCTTTGTCCTCATTTCAAGCCGGCTATGGAATACCAAAAGCTTCACATGTGTGCCCTCGTGTGGTAGCTGAAGATTACACAGGTGGGAGTGATGGAACAACAGCCGTTATGTATATAAGACCTGTGGGTGTCTTGATAAATGTTTGCTTTAAACAAGACAATTGGCAAACTGATGAGTCGGGTAAATCAGTTATCATAAACAACATAAATTGGAAATCTCTAGGAGGGGAAAAGAGATGTAATGTCCATAATCCTCAGACACCCCCAGAAGACAGTCTACATAGTTATAGACTTACTGTGGTATAACTTTAAATTTGTGGTGTAAATGGAAATTCAGCTACTGCACTTTTAAGTAGCAACGGTGTAAAATGAGTGCCCGGGGGGTGCTTCCTGGTAGTCCCTGCCACATGACCACAAGCATCTGTTTGTGCATGTATCTCTGGGAAACATGAGGGCAGATGATTCTTCAGTGCATCTCTACACAAGAACACATCTCAAATATGTTCAGTTCTAGTTTGAACAAACCCAAATGCGTCATTACACTCTGAGTGGTGGGTGAAGAGGGGGGGTGATAGATAGATAGATAGATAGATAGATAGATAGATTGATTTATCTGCGCATCATGGCCTGCGAGATCTGCAGCCTATCCATCTGTATCAGTGTACTTCTGCGCCTGGATACAGACCACACAGGCAGGACCTGATTCCCATCATCATGACAACAGGGATGCCAAGCAACCAATCATAGCCCTTTGAGTTCTGCTCTGGAAGCTGATTGGCTTCCCAGCCTGCAGCCTGTTGTGGAATGTCCATCTTTAACCTCTCTGCTGCCAAGCACAGCGCATATACATCCTATATCGCAGTACGGAGTACTGCTGCATGTGTGAGCTTCCTCTGAATTATTGGTAAAGCTTTGTGTACGTCACAGCTGGAACATCTGAATGACATCCATTGTTTTTTGGCAGCGTAAATAAAAACCCACGCGTGTGCTGCTCCCCTGATGTAAACACAGCATGACTGATCATCTGTCATCTGCACGAACCTGCTTCGTATTTTATTCCAGGTCGACCCGGAGTATTCCGTAAATCTCACAGAGCACAAACTGGGGAGGAGGGGAATCTTGTAGTTACACAATAATGTCATTATAATAGACTATGCACAATTTCTCCATAGCTGTATGCTAGAATTAAGTCCTCGTAAATAAACTCTACTCTTTCCATTTTTCCACGGACGTGGTCTGTTGTCCACAGACAAACAAATGTTTATATATATATATATATATATATATATATATAGCTACACAGCTATACAGCTCAGTGTCTGAAAGTGCATAAGGTCGAACAAATCGCGGGGAAGGGAATGTTGACAGTCATTATGTGTATTACTTTCTCCATCCACACACACCTCTGTGTTTGGAGTTGTTGGATGGCAAAGCAAACTGTAGGGAGGGAGAGAGGGGGCAACATTTAGCCCGCGGGGTGCAGCAGGACAACAACCTCGGCGAGTCCCCCACCCCCCCACCTCCAAAACTGTCACACGTGTACTCTCGCTTCAGTTAAAGCTGGCTCCTGAGCCGCTCGGACTCCTGTTTGTTTCATTATCTCCTCGGTTCCTTCACGGTGGAAGGGAGGTGATTCTCTCCGCCGCCATTTTTGGGGAACTGCTTATTTGTAAAGAAACTTTGCTAGCTGCTTCCTAACGTTAGCAGCTAGCTGGTTGGCCAGTACCCTGCCTGCCTTTCCTGCAGCTCGTTGTGACAGTTTAAGCTTGGCAGTCAATCGTTATCCAGCTCAGCTCTTTGCTTCGCTTTCATATAAATATTTATTATTTTCACTTGCTGACGAAAATCGGTTATTGCTAAGGAGAATAATCGGACTGGGCAGAATGACCGTCTGTATTTGGGTAGGGCAATTATGCGGTTAGATTAGCGAATTAGCATTGCTAACTTATCGGCTAGCGAATTCCGCACTCTGATTTGCCCGGATTGCTTTGCCTGCCCGTGATTTAGCCACAGACACCTTGCCCTGCTCTGTTTCCGAGTAACCGGATTAAGCAGCCGTTCATACCCCCACTTCATCTCAACCTGTGTGGATTCATTTTTCTTTTCTTGACAAGGTGAGTTGATAACCAACTTTAGCGTTCTGCTAACGTTTACTCTGTGTGTGTTGATTTGTTCTCCCAACGCTATATACTGCAACGGAGCTTAATTTCAATATATCTTATCTTACGAGTTAGCCAGCCAAATACGATGCTATTTTCCAGCTAACCAAAAGTTGCTGTCACAACTTCTACAGTGTGTCACATCAACAGATTTTTTTAGCCCGCTTATTGGGCAAGTTGAGTCACCCATTGTTAGTGTGAAGACAGTATGTTTTTAATGGCGATGTGACATGTCTCTAATTGATCCAAATGTACAAGGGGAAATGCTGGGGAGCTAAATCGAGAGTTGTTATCATGGTAGTAAAAGGATGGGCACAGATTGCTTTACCTAAACAGCGTTAGCTAGCTGCTTTAGCATGCTAATCCGCTTTATGCAACTATGGTTGAAAGCAGTGCCACTCCCTCGTTTTGTTTTTGTCCACTGTGGCTGTACGGCAACACTGAGTGAAACTCGCCTCTGAGGAGAGGAGGGTGTCTGCTTGACAAGTTTGTTTACCTCTAAGGGACCTCGTACTGTCTGAAAAGCTATGCAGTGTAGCGGTAGGTGACATTGGCCCAGGCTCATCCTATGTATGTCGCATGCTTTCACTGGCTTTGTGTTTACAAGCGGCGTTGGCCAGCACAGTCTGACAAATCATCTTTGCCGTGTGCGAGAACGGGTAGCGCTCACGTCGGTCGGCGGCTGGTGTGTTTTTTTTGTTTTGTTTTGTTTTGTTTTTTTAGTGCATTGACGTGAATCGCATTCTTCAGTTTTCAGTGTTGATATTGCGTAACAGTGGATATTACTCGGCAAGCTTCCCTTCTGCCTGGCTTATCTGCGTCTTTGTCGCCTAACTTATGCATTACACAGAGGACCAGCCGCACACGGAGGCAACACGGCACTGAATGTGGTTCAGTAACGCCGGAGTTGTGGCACCAAGTTCATCATGCATCCAAGGCGTTGCGCTTTGTTTGGGGTGATTTCTCAAATGTCCCAGGCTTGGTGGCTGACATGCCTTCTCTAGATCTTTGTGTGCAATGTAACAGGACTTTCTCTGCTACTCACTGATCACTAATTTTTCTGGCAGGCTGCCTGTCTGTCTGCTTTCCAGGTTCATTATAACTTGGTCTCATCTGATCACCTGCCAGTTGTTCATTTACATGTCTGCATGACTGTCAGAACAACAGTGCGTTCACACTGTCAAGCTACAAACCAGTGAGTGGTGCCCAGTGTCTTGATTGCTGGAGAAGCCCTTAAAAAGTTGTTGCCAGTGTTATATCAGGGTGATGTTGAATATGAGCAAACTGCATAATGGATTTAAGCGCCCTCAGGAAAACTGGATTAGACACCAGAGCAAAGCCTGCAGTGGTTGCTCAAGTTGAGATCAAAGGCAGCCAGTAGTAGTCTTGCCTTATTGTAGTGAATAATATATAATACGCTTTCACATGTAATACCATGAACCTTACTTAGCTTATTGATTGTACAGTGCCTTATTATTGTATTTAATCTTTTTATAGCTGGTATAAGTGATACCATGATAGTGATCCTCAGGTTCCATTTGTGGCGTTCAACATTCAGTAGTATGGTAGAGAGGGGAAAAAATGATATGATCGTGGAGATGTAAACCGTAGCACCTATACCTTTTTTTAAAAATATATATTACATCTGTGTGCATCATGGGTGTGTTTTAAAAAATCTTTTGACATCAGCGGTGGTCAGCGACACAGATAATAAGACTCATTTTTTAATGAGATTCTTTTTTCCATAATAAGGAGAAATAAGGGGAGACGTCTGTAATTGAGGGTGGTTGCTTAACACTTGGAGACCAACAACATATTTGATGAGTCAGAGTGAGAGCAAGAAGTCGGGGGTAGGGAGGCACATTTATTTTATTGTTTTCAGGTGATCAACTGAGGATACACACTTTAAAATGAGACAAAAATGTCTCAAGATTGACATTGTGCATCCTGTATCTTAAAACCAATCATAATCTTTAAGTTCACTCTCAGATTTTGCTAATTATTTTGATTACAATTAACTGAAGGTTTAAAGAGTCTATTTGACCATGTTTTAAGTAAGGGATGTGAATGAAGAAGTAGTTTGTACTATGAAAGTGTATGCCTTAGAGATTATCAGCTCTTCATATTAGGGCTAGCATGTTTTTCTGACAGTTGTGCAATACACAGCAATGACGTTAAACTTCTAGCAGTTGAGCTTTTGTACACCTGAGTCACACGCAAGCCCATTTTTCCTGCTCGGGTTGTATGCCTTTTCAGACTCCAAAAATACACCTGTTCTGTTGTTGATAACCCATTGAGACCTGCTTTTATTTCAGCACAGTAAATGGATCAGGAATCAGATGAATTTAAGATGTGACCTGTAGATTAGGTAGTAATCTAATGTTATCAGAATTTATGCATATTCTCAAATCCAAAAAGTCCTTAGACCAAGGAGCCCATCCGGTTTGACGAACCACATCCACTGAGACATATGAGTATTTTGGTGTGTGGATGCCCGTATTTGCTGTTAAAGGGGCCATTTTAAATGCATTTGTTTTCCCTTCTCTTGTTCAGAGTAACTGTGGCATGTCGTTGACGCTCCTGACACTTGTCGCAACTGGAGGGGTGTAAATAGAGCTTTGTGATAGAAACTGGATGGTTCAGTCTTCTTAGCGTTTGGTCACTGCGTCTCTCCTCTCCATCACCAGCTTTGCGATGGCACGAGAAATTGAGATGTGTTGTTGACATTAGGTAGCTTAGCTAGAGAGCGTTCACTTCCTCTACTCAGTGCAAGCCACAATCTGTAATCGGTCTGGGAGGCAGGAGCTTGGACACCCCACCCTCCATCCCAGAGGGATACAAATGTTGCGTGTAAGCCATTTTAATAACATCACATGCAGTTCATTAAATTAACATTTTCTCTGAACAAACAGTTATATGATGTTGCAGTGCTGTTGTTATTGTTTTTCTTTTTAATGGGGCGGCTGAGTAATTAACAAAGCATGAACTCAGTTTATTGACTGGTTCAAGCACAGATGAGTTACACATGACATATTTCATTTTTCATTTTTAAAAATTAGTACCTCGACTGGGGTCGTTTATGAGCTGTAACTACAATCATGCTTCTCTTTTGGGCTTGAGAAGATTTTAATTATTGTGTGTTAATTAAGCGTGTGTTTTGAGAATGTTCTAAGAAATGAATAAGAAGGAGTTCACTAGGACCAGTTACATCAGGCTGATACATGATCACGTCATGAGATGTATCAACTAAGTGCATTCCTATTTTGAATTATTTAACAGTACAGCATAAAGCATCTTCTAGGCACCATTTGTATGAATATGTGTGTATATATAACAAACGTAACAAAACTATTAAATTCCAGCAGTTCTGTTGAGGGGGGGAAGCATATCCATAGGTGATCATAGGTATTCTGGTTAATAACTCCAGTCAAGTACAGTAGGCAGTGAGGGGGTGTAATCGCCCAAAAATAACTAAACACAAGCATGTGGGTGTAACATGGATGTGTTGAGGAACTAAGGAAGAGTAATCGCTCCAACAGTATGTTTAGTGTGGTGGCTACCAGAACATGTGGAGCAATGTTAACCTTCATACTTAATCTGGTATTACATTTTGTATTCAAAGCCATTATTGGTGTAATTGCAGCTTGCCAAATAAGACTATGAATCATCCGCTTTCAAGAATAAAAAAAGGTTAATTGGAGTCTAATTAATAACAGTAATTAAAATGTGTTATGTTGTAGTAATGGATGTTTTAGGATGGGTTTCAATTGGCTTCTATTAAAATTCTTTGGAACATCCTGTACATATTTTTCTCTGCTGTTGGTGAGCCGTCTGGCCACAGCATTGCTCCACTGTAGCTAATCCTGTGGAGCTGAGAGAAATTCACTATGGAATCAATAACTTATTTGATTATTTATTATCCTTCTCCATTTCTCTCTCGCTCTCTCTCTCTCCCCCCGCTTCTCAATCACACCCATTGCTACTCAGGTTTGTGTATTGCTTGCGTCTTCATTAGGCATCATGGTGAATTTTACAGTGCAGAGGAAATCAATTCGCATAACTCTTCGAGAGAGAATCCATTTTCTCAAGCAGTAAAGCAGAACAGTGTCCAGCACTTCTCCTCTTAATAATTGCATGTGCTTACACACATCTAGCAATGCAGCTCAGATTTTTCCAGATTTAGTCATGTGACAGCGTTCAGTGCTTGATTCGCACTTCTCTGCAGTGTTATTTAAATTAGAATTAATCTTTGCTCCTTTTGTTTCTGTATTTCCCCTAATGCTAAAATATATACATATATATAGGCTCCTGCCTACGATAGCCGTAATGCTCCGACAATCCATCAAGCAGTGTGGGTTTGTAGCTTAGCAAAGTCCTACTAAAGCATTTGACAGATTTACGAGCGCCGTGTACCACATAAAATCGTTTCGAGGTCAGTAAACACAGCCAGAATTCATACATAAGGCACACGGGATTATAAGGGGCGCTGTCGATTTTCAGAAAAATCAAAGGATTGATTTTAAGTGTGCCGTATTTTCCAAACAACACGGTAATAATGACGGCCTGCTAGCATGCTCTACCAAAAATAGTGCTTTGTTGTGTATCTGACCGTCGCCGCCATGCTTTTTCCGCCATGTGCGTATGAAAACAAAGGCACTGCGCATGTGCGTTTTACCCATATTCTAGTGTTTAATATATTTATTATTTTCCACAATGAAATACAAAAATACAAAGCAGTTTTACCCATATTCTATCGCGATATTTCATTTTCTTATCTTTGCCCAACATTATATCGGTATTACCGTGAACGGTATGATATGGCCCAGCCCTAATTGCAATTAACCATTTTAACTGCTGTTTTTTAAGTTATGCTTCATTACACTAACAGAAAACCTGCATCTTTTACATTTTAAAGTGTAATAATTATGTGAATAGAAAAGCATCTAGCATGAGAGGGGAAAAAATTACCATTGTAATAAATGACCACTGCAAAACACTATTGAGAAATTATGTAGTTACATTTGTATTACCTTTCGGTTACCTTTCTAACTGCTAGACGGTATACTAGATGTACCAGTTTTAACTTCCTGGATGGCACACATTTTTTAAATACCACCATGACGGTGAATAGTCAAAAGTTGTAGCTTTAAAGGTTCCACTGAGACAATGATTGCATTAACTGGCCATATTTATCAGGTACAGTTCTAATGTGGTTAAAAAATATATAATTCATTTACACTGAATTATATTTAACATGGAAAATTTAAGTAATTACAATGTATATAGTTTGGAAAACTAGTAACTGTACATTTACCAAATAACACCGCTAAAGCCTTAATCACACAGGTCTAGACACCAGTTGTTGTGTATTAATGTGTAATATGTATTCCCTGGTTGGTTATTGAGTTAATGATTCGTGATTACTTTGCTGTGGCCTTCTGTAGTTTACATGGAAGATACCAACATGTCTGCAAACACCATGTATTCTAGGTGCACTTGAAAAAAGGGTGACATGTCTGCAAACACTTGGAAAATACTTGCCAGGTGGAAGTGAGACTAAAAGGCACAACACAAACCAGAAACAGAAAATGTTTGCCTTCAAAGTTAAAGTTGTGCCTTACCAATAGAACCAAGCAATTTTACTTTAAAGGAGAATCTTTTCCATTTTGTATCTCACCTTTCACACTATTGCTCGGTGAATAGTTTCCAAATGTTTCCAAACAAGATGGCATCTTCCATATAAATTACTGATGACCACAGCAACTTGCTAGTGACCAGAGCAATGTAAAGCAATTTTCAGTACAGGACCGTATACCTCTCTGTCATCAATTTCATGCTAGCAAATGCCAGCAACCTTCAGCAACCACTGACCATCCGGTTCCAGAAACCATACTTTTCCCTTGTCACCAGTTCCTGCCAGTTGGTTTCAACAGATCTCTAGGGCTGTGTGAGTGAGGCCTAAAGGGTATGCTGAGTAATGCAGGGTAGTAAGTACTATCACCGAACATTAACAGCTGTGAGGGGCTCTATGGCTACTTTCATCAGTACAGTAAAGACAGATGGTGGATCAAAAAAAGAGTGCAGAGGTTCAGCAAAATGAGGCATCTGTGTTCATTTCTGGTCGCAATACTTCTGTGTTTGGCATTTATTGAGTATGGGGCTCAAGCAGCTCCATCTTGCACAGATGTAAGAAAACAGGTGAGGTAAAGATTAAGCTAATAGATGTTTGTTTGTTTGTTTTAAACTGTTGAGAGAATAAAATTTGTTTCAAAGCTGCCATTCAACACTACCAAATATACTCACCTATAGAAAGTGCCGCCAAGTATCACTTCTATAAGTATAGTTTGCCAAAATAATGTTATTGTTATGCATCTAATAAGTTTAATAATAATTTATTTTGATTAAAAAAGAAACCTAAGAGTAGATTATTTATTTGGGTTTTTGTTGTATGTTTTTTATGTGTTATTTTTTTATATTTTTTTTAATGTAATGACTAAAATGGTTTCATTCTAGTCCGTTTTAAATATATAACTAAATATATATAAATGACTTTGTTAATATTGCTTATGTTAAATAGAAATAAAAGGCTTGTTAGCATGTAATGTTGTAGCCGTGCATTGTAGCAATCTGTGAGATCAGTGTGGTGCATTTATGAGGAAGTGTAGTCACATGTCTGCTAGAAAAAATCACAGAAAACTTTGACAGCAGACTGTTGTTAACATTTTTGGTTGTTGCTGCTGCTCTGAATGCTTTGTCAGTATATCGTTCTGACTTTGCGACGAGCTTTTAGCTTAGAGCTGATATTTTTCTTAATTTGTCAGCAACACTGGTTTGAAGCTTTTCTACTTTCACGCACAAAATCCCCAAAATCTCAGAGTACACAGTACATGTGTAATCACATCTCTAAGCGTTAACTTTAAAGTTAACATGGCCGTGCCATCTGCTTTTTTTTTTTAATGCGGTAAAACTGCCATATGTAGATGTTGTTGTGTACATGCTACATATCGTTACTGAAAAATGTTGATGAGCTTGACTGGCAGCACATGACATGAAGATGTTATGCACTGCCTTTCATTGGAACACTAATGCATAGTTTCGCTTTTCTTTGGCAGTCCAGCACTCCTGTTGGCCCTTTGACCAACATGAGACTGGATGTCATGTGTATTTTGGGAAATTCACACAAGTTCACATTAGCATCTCACACCAAGTAAAACCTTGCTGTTGAAGTTCCATGCATGATGTCAAGTATGTGCTTAAGAGTTGTCTACCATATTGCATGTGATATAATCACTGGTTGCTATGGAACAATGTTAATTCCACAACTGGTTGGCAAGTGGTTCCTGGAGTTTGTTGGCTGTCGCTCGGTGAAATTGATTGCAAAGAAGGTGCTGCACCAAAAAAACCTTTCCATATTTGTCTTCAAATACTCCCTAACTACCAGCCAAATGAGAAGTAGAGAAGGTTTAGCTTCAGAATAAAAGTTGTGCCTTAGCGCGGTAGTCAACATGTTTCAAAAGGTGCAACTTTTACTTTTGAAGGCAAACCTTCTCCATTCCCGGGTTGTGTCCCACACTCCCAAAGTGAGAGCAGAGCGGCTGGCCAGTATTTGTAGACAAGTCTGTCACATTGATACAATCTACAGGCAATCTCACAATATGGTAGCAACGAAAGCAATCACAAGGAGGTTTTTGCCAATTGGTTGGAGAATGCATTCTTTTTGGTAGCGACAGGTGGTTGCCAAGCAGTCACTGACAGGTGTGAATGGGGCTTGAGCACTTATTTTTCCAGCAACTGCTATCAAACTTCAACTACTTCTGCTGGCTTAGAAGTTAATGTCCCATGGATAGTGGTCACATGTATGCAAAATGTCAATACCTGTATATTAAATGTTTCGTGTATAGTTAAATTGACCCCTGTTTATTGTTGATGAAGCTTAAAAGTTTGCTTAACAGCAAAGTTTTAAGCTTATTTGCTTTTTTTCATTATGGCAGAATTAGAAAAATCTGAATCTCTATTCACTAGAATCCAATAGAATAAGACTAGACCTCTGTTTTTCTTACTTAAGCATGTTTATATTAACAGTTTGTATTTCATTCTGTCCAGAATATTTATTGTCTTTGAGGACTCTGTTTCCCAATTCTTTTTCTTTCTTTTCTTTTTTTTAACAGTCAGCTGGATAGCTTTTTTTTTTTTTTTGTACATAATTTGAATGAGGCTTGTAAACAGTATTAATCTTGCATATGTAAATGTGTTAGTTGTGAGTCCGATGATGCAAATATTTAGCCCTATGCCAGGATTGATCAGTCAGTGCAGCTTACCCTTCATTTCTGCAGGCCAGCTCATAGCAGTGGACATGAAATCAATTCTTGTGTTGGAATATTTGTATTGTCCAGTCATCCCAGTAGTTTAAAGATCTACAGTAATTGCTGAGGCAGTGCTAGTGATGACTCAGCGGTTAAATTAGTGTCAGTAGCTGAAGGCCAAAATCACCAAGTATAATATAGTTCAGAGGTGACCTTTCTGACCAACTCGGTCTTTTGTGTTTTTCTTTTCATGAAATATAAAGCTATATTCTTGCCCTGTCACCCTGTGAGCAAACAAGCGTTTGAGAAAATATTTCATTTTTGCTTTCTTTTAGGTCAAAGTTGTGCTCAGATTTCCTTCTTTCCTCTTTGAAGGTCTTTGACTCATCTTGCTGGTATCGTCAAACTCTTGTTCCTCCTCTGCAGGATCAATGTGTTTCATCTTGTCCTTGCTAACACATCTCGCTGTCTCTGTCTCATTTTTTGTCCATGCAGGCGCCCATGTACTGGTTCCTTAGGGTCATCGATTACCGCAGATGAATCTTCAGCTGCTTTGCCATAGCTCAGCAGCCAGATAGTCCCATCGCCTTTGCGTGGGTGATAAGGGACTACATTAACCAGGATGCCCTCCTCCGTAAGGGCAGGGAGCCTCAAGGATCCGGAGGTGGCTGAGCTTTTCTTCAAAGAAGATCCAGAGAAGCTTTTCTCCGACCTCCGAGAAATTGGCCATGGCAGCTTTGGCGCCGTCTACTTTGTAAGAGAACTGCATCTTTACTCTGACACAAACAAAAGACAGAGTCACTTTGGATTAGATGAGTGGTTTAAAAAAAAAAAAAAACCTGTTCACTTTAAAAAGTGATAAAATCAGTTAAATAGTGTAACACTGAGACCATAAACTCCACAGGAAAGTGTTTATTTGGATGTAAATGTCCTCAGAGGTGTCCCTGCCTTTTGGCCATTATGGAGAATGCAGGTTAAACATACTCCTGGCTTCATTTTTCAGACTCGAAAGTTACTTCCATCTTTTAAAGAGATCTTGATAAACAACATGTCAAATGCAGATAATTAATGTTACAGTGTATGTTCTGATCGCAGCATGTACCAACAGTGTCCTTCTCGTTTCCCAGGCACGGGATGTGCGCACAAATGAGGTGGTGGCAATTAAAAAGATGTCCTACAGTGGCAAACAGTCTAATGAGGTGAGAAAATTGTGGCCAGAAAATAGATCGAAAAAACACAAATTGATGCAGCAAATCATGAAGCATTGATGCCAAATAATCCAAATCCAAATATAAAAAGAACGTTATAGGTGAACATTGTGCTGTTTCTGAGCTTCCAGCAAAGTGGAATTCACTTTCTTGAATCAGTAACTTTGCTGCAGACACAGCCACCTCTGGTTCGTTAAGCCAGTCAACGATTGCCATTTAAATTTTTATTTCACCAACAGAAATGGCAGGACATCATAAAGGAGGTGAAGTTCCTCCAAAGGATCCGGCACCCCAACAGTATAGAATATAAAGGATGTTACCTCCGTGAGCACACAGCATGGGTGAGTCTAGCTTACAGGCATGCATAATCTCACGCTGCCTAGCACCGCTATTCTTAAAATGATGTCATGTTTCCAGCTGGTGATGGAGTACTGTCTTGGCTCGGCCTCTGACCTGCTAGAAGGTGAGAAGCAAACAGTTGTTTTTACTCTTCTAAATGACATGTGGATATTTGAGTGAGTTCACATTGTTCTGGTTGTTTTCCTGCAGTTCATAAAAAACCTTTACAAGAAGTTGAGATTGCTGCCATCACACATGGTGCTCTGCAGGGGCTGGCCTACCTTCATTCCCATAATATGATCCACAGGTGAGTGAGGTCCTCAATCAACTGTTTATTTTATTTTATGATATTTTAAGTATCTTAGGAAGCAACTGTAAACACTACATCTCTCCACTTATCCACATGCTGTGATGTTCTCTCTCTCTCTCTCAGGGATGTGAAAGCTGGCAACATCCTGCTGACTGAGCCTGGCCAAGTCAAACTGGCAGATTTTGGCTCTGCCTCCATTGCCTCACCTGCCAACTCTTTTGTGGGAACGCCATATTGGTAAGTGAAATCTGTATGAAGTTAAAGTGTAAGTGTAAGCGTGCGTGTGTGTATGTTTTGCGTGCATAAACCAGAACTGAATTTATCGATTCTTTAAGTGGGTGTCTGTTAAAAGCAGCGATTGAGCAGAACTGATTGTATATTTTCATATTCATACCCATGCCTGCCGATATAGTCAAATGCTTTGATACTGTAATCAGTAACAGGATTTTGACCTTGCCTTATTTACTATTAATTTACCCTATATTTATATTATGTGGCTTTTTGTCTGATCCCTTGTCCTGATTTATGTTTTTCCTTGAATTTATCCAGGATGGCCCCAGAGGTGATTCTAGCTATGGATGAAGGCCAGTATGATGGAAAGGTGGACGTCTGGTCCTTAGGGATTACCTGTATAGAATTAGGTGAGTGACAGTGTGTTTGTATGATTGAACTGACATTTATAAAGCTAATTTTCTAGTCTTGTTGAGAACTCAAAGCACTTTAACCTGCAACCCACATTTAACCAGACATTCATACAGTGCTTTATTCTATGTGTCTTAACTTTATCTACCTCACACCCGTGGGCCAATATAGAATCAACAGTTATCTTAACTTGTGTGGTGCTAGTGCTAATAGTGTACCACCACGCCACCTCTATTGTATCAATAAAAATGTAACAGCAGGAGAAAGTTACTTTTACTGGAAATGAAAGATTAAGGATTTTCTTTCCCTGACAAAGTGATTGTGATGTTTTGTTGCATCAGTAGTGTTTACTGATCACAGTTGGGTATTTTTTTTTTACTTCTCATCAGTTGTGAAAGGCAGCTTTAACCCTTCACTTACTCATACCAGTCACCCTGTAATTAAATTGGTGTCTGACTGATGTCGTTCTGTTCCAGCGGAGAGGAAGCCTCCCTTGTTTAACATGAATGCAATGAGTGCCTTATACCACATAGCGCAGAATGAGAGCCCCACGCTGCAGTCCAGTGAATGGTGAGGTGTCACACATGCACTCACAGTTTATCGTCTGTGTAGTTAAATTCAGATGTCTGCTGGGGATGTGAAACAAAGGTGTATATTTTTTGTGGATGCCAGCAGAGAGTTATTCTATCTATATCTAGTGTTTTGTAGCTGAAATAATGATGTTTGTTTTTGATGCCCACTCTCTGTGTCGTTGTTTTTTGACAGTCTCTCTTCTCCTCGTCTTTGTTCCAGGTCAGAAGATTTTAGAAACTTTATCGATTCTTGCCTTCAGAAAATCCCCCAGGACCGACCGCACTCTGACGACATGTTGGGTGTAAGTGTGCGCACATGTGCTGATGTACCGTACACTGCAACACAGACAGAGAGCAGCAGGGTCACTGTGCTAAGATGTGATACTGACGAGCCCTCTGTTGATGAAGCTCCCTGTGATGTTTGCACTCTGTTCTCTCCTCACATAAGCTTCTATTTTGATTCTTTAATCCTCCGTTTCCGGATAAACTGACAGAGACACACACAACCAAAACATGTACAGACACACACACATGCACACAGAGCTTGCTGTAATGACTATGGAGATGTGACTTCAGGGTCCATCGTTAAGTCACTGAGCAGCTGTCGTTTAGCCTGCTAATAGACTCTCTGTTGCTAATGGAAGTTGCCCTTAGGGTATGAAAACACTGCACATTGTCTTTTTGTTTTTTTTGTTTTTTTTGTTTTTTTTTAAATGTCAACTTCTAAAACTGTGCCTATATCAAGATCAGCTGAAATGTGTTTTTAGCTGCTGCTTAGTGTGGTTTTCCTGTATGTGAGTTGTAGCCCAACTTAACCACCTTAAGCTGAGCAAACACTGCGTTTTTTTTTGTTTGTTTGTTTTTGTTTGTTTTTTTTCTTCAGTCGCCTTATTCAGCTTCTGCTCAAACTGCACGATTGACTCGCAGGGGTTAGAAGTTTGTAGGTCATGATGCAGGGTCTCACACTATACAGCCCGATGCTATGATGCGATCTGAGTGCTCACACTGTGCGTCCATAAAATGAAGGTTATAACAGAAAAGCTTCTCGTTACCCCACGTATACTACACGATGCACGACACACGATGAAGGCGAAACTCGGGCCGATAACCAAAACGGTCGCACGACTGAAAAATCGGCTCAAAATAAGCCAAAAATCGCACAGTGTATGCCCAGCATTAAAGTGCCTAGCAAATGCCTTTTAATCTTACGAGGAAATGCGTGACTTTATCTACTTGGGTATTATTCTTAGCTGTCATAACTGTCATAGCTTCACAGACAGTCGTCTGGATGATCTGCTCTTGTGCACATTTCTTCCCCTTATACATGGAGGTTCTGGTAAGCAGGCACATGGTAGGAAGAGTCATTGTCAAAATGTAATAGTAGCTTATGCGCTGACATTTTAACTATTGTGGCACTCATTCTGGGATTTTAATGTTATATATTAAGGGTTAACTTTTATTTCTGACTAACTAATATAACACATGTTCCTTTTGAGGATCTTGGGCTTAGGGTTAGTGCCAAACCACAACCGCTCAAGGGGCTTTATATTTTAAGGTAAAGACCCTACAATGAATACAGAGAGAATCCCAACAATCAGACGCCCCCCTATGAGCAAGCACTTGGCAACAGTGGGAAGGAAAAACTTCCTTTAACCTCCCGAACTCTTTCGTGGCATTCTTAGTTTCTTTTTGCTATTTGGGCTGATTGGGACCTGATGAATGTAAAAACAAAGAATTACCAGATTTTTTTTTCAATTTTTTTTTTTTTAACCTGATTTTTGTTTCTGAGAAAAATGAGATCCACATATTAGGACATTTGTTTTAAATTTTGATAGAACAGTGGCAGTATAACGTCCTCGTAAGTGGATATCAGGCCCCTGTAGAGCAAAATATTGTATTTTGGTCTAGACAACCCAAAATGTGATGTCCAAGAGGGGAGAGAGACAAGACAGGAAAGTATTAAGGTATTAAGCTGCACCTCTTGACCTCTGAATTCAGGTGTTTTCAGTGTTGTTGTCACAGGTGTATAATAATCAAGCGGCTAGCCCTCTGCTTTTACAGAGGATGCAAGTTAAGTTCCAGCAGTTTTATTTGTGAAATTACTTCCCTCCTAGATAATCCACAGTCTGTCAGTAGTATTAGTGCAGTGTTTATGTGTTTGGGAACTGTGTGCTGGGAGCTTTCCATGACAGAGCAGTTCGTGTAGGTGTTTCTTTTGTTTGCAGATACTGTAACTTATTATTATACGCTAACTTGCAAATTTCATCTAATGTTATGAGACTGCAGTGTAAAAATCCAAGCTTCACTTGTGTTTCAGTAGAACTTCTGACATGTAAATATATTTGATCAGTCAAGAAAAGACTCTTCACACATGCAGCTTATTTTCCCCTGTTTTTTGCCTGAAAACAATTAATTTGTGTCATTGTCAGACAAAGAATATACATATTAATATTCAGGCGTAAACACACACCAATGGGATCATCACTCTTAGATTGACACTAATCAATCAATGCCTGAGCACCTTTGTCCCCAATTTAACTGGTGTGGTTGCTCTTGAGTTGCTGATCCTGAAGCAGTATACCCAGGCCTGGGCTGTAAGGCTTTTGTTGGTGCAGGTCAGCATAGAGGTTAGGGGCATAGGGAGAAGGGACAGCAATGATCGGGCATAGTATGAGACAACCTTGCCTGGCGTGAGTCATCCTCCCATTAAATCCCAGGGCTATGACCTCATCACTTGCATTCAATATCTTTTGGCAGTACTGAATATCCCATCATCACATTCATAATATTTGAAATGTACTCTGATGTCATTCTGATGTTATTTCCCCGTCTCCTGTCACGTTACTTTCAAACCTACCAGTTAAAAATGGACATGCAAGTAACTTTCCTTTCACCGCCCCACAGCACGAGTTTCTGCAACGTGAGCGTCCAGACTCTGTGCTGATGGACCTCATTCAGAGAACCAAGGATGCCGTACGAGAGCTGGATAACCTGCAGTACCGAAAGATGAAGAAGATCCTCCTTCAGGAGGCCCACAATGGGCCCACTTCAGAAGCCCAGGATGCAGACGAGGTGTGTGGACGATTGCTGGCTAGCATCCAAACTTGAGCGACAAGAACAGGCTTCATGTGGGCACACAAATGAATTTGCCACTTTAAAAGAGCTTTCCTCAGTAACTCTAAATGCCTTGTTTGTATGCATGTCTGTCTGCGTCTCCTGTGTCTTTCGTTCTTCCTCTTGTTCCCTCGCACGCCGTCTTTCTCTGCGCCACTCTTTCGGCTTTGTCTTCAGGACCTGGAGCCTGGTGGAGGTCGGACAGGAACGGTGAATAGCGTTGGCAGTAATCAGTCCATCCCCAGCATGTCTATCAGCGCTAGCTCCCAGAGCAGCTCTGTCAACAGCCTGAATGAAGCAGCCCAGGACAGCCGCAGTGAGCTGGACCTAATGGAAGGAGATCACACAGTCATGTCCAACAGCTCAGTCATACACCTCAAACCGGTAGGTGAAACGACTCGGACACATGCTAACAATTTAAAGGTGGATTCTTCTGATCTCAGTTTATAATAAAGCCTCACATGGCTTTGCTGGGAGCTTGGGCTCAAGTTACGTCACTTCACTCTCTCAGACCATGCATACATGTCAATGCTCCAAGTGTCTTTAATGTGCTCTTTCCACGGTTACACTGTGTAGTGTATCTTCTCAATTATTCTGTTGTCTTACCCCCCTCCAGGAGGAAGAAGAGAGTCTCTCTTTGGAACAAGCGGCCACCAGTGAGCCCACTGAGCCCCAGCCAACACCAGCTCAGGCCCCGAGGAAGCACTACCGCAACAGAGAGCACTTTGCCACTATACGCACAGCATCACTTGTAAGAACACATTTGCTTAATAAACCTTCCTTTGATTTGACAAAAGGACTGAAATATTATGTGTTATATGTTTAGCAAATGTTTAAAATTCCTTGGTGGAGACTTGCGAGTAGATTTGTTTACCACTCACAAGCACAAGTGTCTAATCAGATAAGTGGAATGTCCTAGTGTAACAACAACGTTCTGATAATTCTTCTTCATCGTCATATTGTAGGTGACACGTGAGATGCAAGAACACGAGCAGGACTCTGAGCTGAGGGAGCAGATGTCAGGATACAAACGCATGAGGCGGCAACATCAGAAGCACCTAATGGCCCTGGAGAACAAGCTGAAAGGGGAAATGGATGAGCACAGGCTGAGGCTGGACAAAGAGCTGGAGAGTCAGAGGAACAACTTCACCCAGGAGATGGAGAAGCTGCTTAAAAAACACCAAGCGGCCCTGGAAAAAGACGTATGTAGACAAACGAAACTAAAATATTAATTCAGAGGAAAAACACAGTTAATAGTCTGTAGAGACAACAGCGAAATGCTCACATTATGATATTAAACTACATTCATGTTCGATTTAGCTGAAGACGTTTGCCAACGATGAGAAGAAGTTCCAGCAGCACATTCAGGTTCAGCAGAAGAAGGAGCTCAGCAGCTTCTTGGAGTCGCAAAAGCGGGAGTATAAACTACGCAAAGAGCAGCTCAAAGAGGTAACGCACATCCGCCTCAGCAGATAATAAATGCAGCCTGTTTATCAGACTAAATAATTATAATTAAATTATAATTTAATATAAATAATAATTAGTAAATTTACAATATCCAGTACTGCACAAAAGTCCTGAGTCACCCCTCATTTCTTTATATTTTGCTTCCACTGAGCCAGACTTGTAATTTATCAATGTGGTCTGACTCAGTGGTTCTGCAGATTTTCAGTTTTTCTTTGGACATTGGCTGCTTTTTCATTCAATGTTTGTCTCAGTTTTATTGAGTTATTAGCTCACCATCTACTAATTTACAAGTGCTTTTTAAATGACTGTAACTCCGTTTGTGCAAGAGACATAATTGTAATGGGTTTGAAGAGAAGAGAAGACGAGCTTTACAAGGAGATTGCTGCCATGTCTCATAAAGCATTCACAGGGTACTGCTGTCTGAACAAAATCAGCTCTGCCTAGATTTTACCATGTGCGCTTCACATTACCATGACTCCTCCACCATTTTAGGCAAGAGAGGAAATTCAAATGGTTCCTGAAAATTGAGAATTATTTCGTAATTTTCCAGCCTAAAGTCCATGTGGCCCGGATGATTAAGACATGAGTACAGTGGATCTCACCCCCGTTTCCCATTTTGCTAGCAGGGTAAAAACAAAAACACATTTCACTTCAGTCGAGAACTCAAATATTTTTAATTTATTATCATCCAAGACAAAGACCGGGAACACGCTTCATTTATTTTTGCTTGAAGGTGGGTTTAAATAGTTATTTGTGAGATGTGAATTTTGACCGGCGCAGGTTAAGGAATGCAGGGCTTCAAACGCTTTTGTGTCAAACTGAATCCCTGCATATTTAAAAAGAAAAAAAGCTAAACGACACCTGTGTGGCAGGAGCTGAGTGAGAACCAGTCAACACCCAAAAAAGAGAAGCAGGAGTGGCTGTCCAAGCAGAAAGAGAACATCCAACACTTCCAGGTGAGGATCGCTCAATATGTACCCTTCAAAGAACAAGTGAGATTTTTACTCGTCTGCCCCACAAAGCTTTATTTGCCGAGTCTCTTTGATTTATTTTATTTATTTATTTTTTTTGGCAGTATGAGTTCTATGGTTATTTATTACAAAACCATAATGTTTATTTCCAGGCTGAGGAGGAGGCTAACCTGCTGAGGAGACAGAGGCAGTATCTGGAGCTGGAGTGTAGGCGGTTCAAACGCAGGATCCTCATCGCCAGACACAATGTGGAGCAGGACCTGGCCAGAGAGGTGTGGAGAGAAACAGGAGAAACATATACCCAGCAGCACACAGTCTCACTTTAGATCACAGTTTTATGATACGTATTTGAGTTTTTGTTTGTTTGTTTAGGAGCTGAACAAACGTCAAACGCAGAAGGATCTGGAGCATGCAATGCTGCTGAGGCATCACGAGTCCATGCAGGAGCTGGAGTTCAGGCATCTGGCAACAATCCAGAAGGCCCGGGCAGAGCTGATACGCACCCAGCACCAGACAGAGCTCACTAACCAGCTGGAGTACAATAAGAGGAGGGAGAGGGAGCTGAGGCGCAAGCATGTCATGGAGGTCCGGCAGCAGCCCAAAAGCCTGAAGGTACACAGAAAGATGGGGACTGTTTCTTTTTCCTTTAACAAATAATTTACTATCAACACTTAACTGGAATTATTCTCATCTCATTCAACTTTTATTTTTCCCCTTTAGTCTAAGGAGCTTCAGATTAAGAAGCAGTTTCAGGAGACCTGCAAAACGCAGACTCGGCAGTACAAGGCCCTCAGGAACCATCTGCTCGAGACGACACCCAAGTCCGACCACAAGGCTGTCCTAAAGAGGCTGAAGGAGGAGCAGACTAGGAAGCTGGCCATCCTCGCCGAGCAGTATGACCACTCCATCAATGAAATGCTCTCCACACAGGCTGTAAGTTTCATAAAGGAAGATCTGCAACATTTATCAAACATAAGTCATTTCTGAGCAACATAGTGAAAATGTATCTATAGATTATTCAAAGCTAATTTGTTTAATATATTTGTGAAGGGCATCTTTAATGTTTTCTTAATGCATAACAGCCACAGAAGAACCCGTTTATGTAGGTCTGTTTCTTTGCTCCCTCCCTTAGCTGCGGTTGGATGAAGCTCAGGAGGCGGAGTGTCAGGTGCTGAGGATGCAGTTGCAGCAGGAGCTTGAGCTGCTCAATGCTTACCAGAGCAAAATCAAGATGCAGACAGACGCACAGCACGACAAGGAGAGAAGGGAGCTGGAGCAGAGGGTGTCTCTGCGGCGGGCTCTGCTGGAGCAGAAAGTAAGAATAGCCTTTGTCTAATGTCGGGATGTGGCTGAGTGCATGTTGGGAAGTGACAGGACTGCGGTTACCTCTGCATTTATATGTACCAATTCTCTGTAGGTGTTGCACATACAGTTTGTTTTATCTTTAGTACGCTGGGATTGTTCATACGTTTGGCCAGTAATACAAACAATGTAGTTGCCTGTTTTTTCTTCGGTGTCACATTGTGTTTATGTCCCCAGATCGAGGAGGAAATGCTTTCCCTGCAAAACGAGCGTCTGGAGCGAATCCGCTCACTGCTGGAGCGCCAGGCCCGAGAGATCGAGGCTTTTGACTCGGAGTCCATGCGACTGGGCTTCAGCAACATGGTGCTCACTAACCTGGCTCCCGATTCTCAGGGAGGCTGGGGAGGAGGAGGAGGAGGCCAGGGGGCTCAGGGGGGAGGCCACTGGCCGGGAGGAGGTGGAGGAAGCAGTCACCATAGTCATCACCAGGGGGGCTCCAGCTCACAGCAGTCCTGGGGTCACCCCATGCTGGCTGGGGGCCCACCACCCTGGAGCCTCCACCACCCTGGTGGGGGTAGTCAGAGGGGTAGCCAAGGAGGTGCGGGAGGGGTGAGGAACAGCCCGCAGGCTATGAGGAGGACGTCATCAGGGGGGAGGAGTGAACAGGGCATGAGCAGGAGCGCCAGCATCACCTCTCAGATCTCCAATGGATCCCACCTGTCATACACCTAAAATACACACGCACACACAAATTGTCTTAAAGCTAATATCTCGCTCCGAGATAACTGTACACACACGCATCACGCACATACCACAGTACATCTCGCACTGCACAGTACTGAGGCTGGGTTTACCTGAGCCCAGCCGCTCTCCTGTCACCACTGCTCTACATCAGTGTACTGCTAGCAGCAGTCTGTGGAAACCCAGAAGACTTGAGACTAATAAGATACCCGAGGGCCATTTACAGTAGTGCAATAGTAGTTTTCTTGTTGTTTTTTGTTTTTTTTACTGCAGCATACACTGCTGTGTGTGTTTGTTACTGCCGTATCAGTCTCTGTTGCCACAATCCCAAACTAGTGTGTTAATTTTCTATTGAGAGTGGTTTGTTTGCCATCTTCTGTTTCACAGTATTGTTTTAAACCCAAGTGGGACCGATTGTGCACAAAGGTGCTGAGCTTGTCCTTCAAACCAGATTTAAACTGATGAAAAGTTAAATTAGATTATTTATGTGTAGTTGGGGGAAGACTAGAGAACGGAAGGACTGTTTCAAGCGACGCTTGACGCAGCTGAGGAAGTTAATGGACCGAGAAAGAGAGCGAAGGTCGTTGTAAGTGAATAGCTGTGGGTGTTGCTGACTGTTTAGCTGCAGTGCAGGGGGACAGTTGTGGTGACAGTATTAATTCCAGCTCCAAAGCTAATCCAGCTGACTTGACGTGAGAAGTTTCAGCGAGATCATTTTCATGGAAAACAAAGCTGCGTACGTTCTGGTGCGAGTGCCATGCAGGTTTCTTGAGGACCGTGAGCCCAGCTGCCAAAGGTAAAGGTGCAGAGTTGGATTTGTCGTTATAGCTACTCATGCCAACAATACTGTGGTGTAGTGAAACACATTGTGCCGGAGAAAGGCAGTTCAGTGGACATTAATGCCACGTGGCCAAGGGAGCCACTTGTCCTTCGTGTTCAGCTCCGTTATCTCAGCTCTTGGGTTTCCACAGGCCTCTGGCCTTCACTCACACCTGCCCAGTGGAAGGCCAGTCTGAAGGGCACTTGGATCCTTATTAGTCTGCAGGCCCTATGACAGAGATGGGTTTTCAGCAGCACCTAACCTCAACTTTGAACAGTTTCAAAACTGGTGTTCACTCATCACTTGTTTGCAATACAATTTCAATCTGATTTGGCACCATTTTAGTGATGCACTATGCAGTTAGGAACAACAAGAAAAGAGAAAAAAAAATGACACAAGCCTTTTGGCCTACCTCAAGAACACTCAAGTTAGAGCCTTGAATGTCTTGATTTGCACTTTGGCGTAGGCTTTCACCCACTCTTAATTGTTAATCGGACACATTTACACAAACATGTAGTGGCTATTCATTTTATTCGCCCAGGCAAACATTACGTAAGCCTGGTTTATAAATGCATGTGCGTTGAAAATAGCACACTTAGCCTTTGTGAGCTGAGTTGGATGTAAATTGGCAACACAGTCAGCAGCAGCAGGCAAATTTATTAATGTATAAAAACGTCCGTGAAGCTTTGGGAAGTATTATTATTCACAGTTGCCCGAAATGCCTTTTTGTTATTTCTTTGTTATTTTCTTTATTTATTTATTTTTAAACCTTATAAGACCCTACAGTGAAAACAAATGAACACAGAGTGAGGAGGAGCTTCACTAGCCCTCAGCTTGGTTGGTGACTGCTGAACGTTTTTGAAGAGTGGATGGGTGGTGATGCTGGGATCTCCGCTGCCATGCCCCTGCAACCTTCCCCGGTCTGACACCCCGCTCTGTCTCACCCCTGATGACCACAATGTCACATTCTGACCACCGATCTTGTCCCCCAGCATCCCTCCGCCTACGTTTCCTCCCCTCTGGAGCCTCCTTTTTGTTTTGGTTTTTTTGGTCTTCGCTCCTTCGCTCCCCACCTGGATCTTTGTGGAAAGAGCTCTCTCAAGTAAAATAAAAGAAGAAAGAAATATATATAAATGTTATAAATCTATAAAGAAGGATTATAGAGATGTAAAGCTAAAGGTGGAAAGTGTTATTGTGAAACAGAGTTTATGCATTATATGTTGCTGCAGAGGTGGAATGTACAGGAAAAGCGTGTTAATATTGTATATTTTGAATCTGAACATGTGGAGATCGAATCGACAAATCAGAGACGAGTTAACTTGCGATGCAGGCACAGCGGTGCGTGGCTTTAGAGCGGCGGCAGTTGAACGATGGATCGATTCGCGGCTGCTGAGTTTTTCACTGTCTTATTTGCAGCTGCGAGTTCTCGAACTTGTTACAGATATGCTGTTGTGAATGATAACAACACAACTGTAGGTCAGATTGCCTCGAGTAAACAGCAACACTTTGTTTTGTAGTGTATGAGGATGATTTTGCACATAATTTGAAAACTAGTTAGGTGGAGCCTTTGCTCGAGCACTGGCTATGTGTTACTGACATTGTACCCCATAGTGAAGACTCAGCCTCTCTGCTTCATATCTTGGTGGTTTTTAAAGGACTTGGAGCTAAAGTAAAGGTTATAACATGAGGGGGAAAAGTCTTTTTAAAGGTTTTATTTAAGGAAAAAAAAGAAGTGTTAAAATCTGAAATGGCTAAAATTGTTTCCAGATTCTTGCTGTAGACAGTAAACATTTTTGTCTTGTAGGGTCCACTGACCTTACATTTTCTGATCTGTGCACCAAGAGCCCTGTTTGTTTATGGTTCGACACAAACCATTTTCACACTGTACTTAATGATTTGCCTTTGGTGTGGGGGGGAGTACCAACCTGTACTCAATAGTTTGAATCTCTTTTTTGGCTCAGAAACAAAGCGCCAGTATGCCATTGTACCAACTTTCCCCCCAGCTCTTTAGTGTTTTTATGCCAGAAGGGGTGTTTTTAATTTCCAGATGATGTCTGCAGAGGGCCAAACGAGCGGTGGACTTTTAGACCTTCTCTTGTGTTTACTAGAACTCCCAGGTGTTTTGCGAGGCAGTCTACCTTTAGACCTCGGTCACTCTGAACTGGATCAGTTGCACTGATTGCACAAGTGACTGACCAGATTAAAGAGTCTACTGTGATCCACCCCCCCAACTCTCAGTGTTTGGGTTGGGGGAGGAGGTGACTGCTATTGCTGAAAGTAGGTGGGAGGCAGGCTTATGTCTCTGTACAGTCTGTTTTATCAGTATTCCTTTTATCTCCTGTCATTTGGTGGATCTTGCTGTTTTATTCTCCCTGGTCCAGAGATCTGTATTAAACTGTATTAAATGTATAGATTGTGCAGAAAGCTGAATGTTGCATAGCAGAAGAGAAAAGATATTCCTTACAGATGACAAAGTAAAATGTATAAATGAAACTCAAAGGCAAAGTTTAGGGGATAAATGTAATATTTTGTTTGTAATTACTATTTTTTGTTGGAAGAGGGCTACTGGATAAAGAATCATCTGTAATAAAATAATTTTAATATTTCTTTGTCCTGTGGTGTCTTGTATGAAATAGGAAATACAGTTATGTATGGATATGAAATGGAAAAAGTGTAACTGTTTCATTTTAAGATCTCCGGAGACCCCGGTAGAGAATTTTATTCCGCTTAATGTTTCTTCCTGTTAAAAGGGGGTTTTTCCTTCCCACTGTCGTGCTTGCTCATAGTGGGTGGTCTGATTGTGGGGTTCTCTCTGTAGTTCTGTAGGGTCTTTACCTTACAATATAAAACACATTAAGGTGACTGTTGTTGTGATTTGGCACCATATAAATGAAATGGGATTGTTTATAATTTGGATGTTTTTTGCAAAAATAGACATTTGTACTATTGTACCAAAGGAGGTTCAAGGAGTTTTGCACCAACAACCACCTCCATTGTGCAGCACAAGCTTTTGTACAGTTTGGATGAGTTTTACTATATTTAAAAAAATAAAAAAAATCATTTAACAATTTGTTGCCACAAATAAATAGAAATCATTTCAGTGGGCAGACTGTGAGAGAAGCAGGAAAAACTGATTAATAATTCCCTTTTAACATGTTCGGAAGCCCGTGGTTTCACTATCCAGTCATCATTTTACCAACAAATCGTAGGAAAAGTTGACGTTTTGCAAACGAAGTCATCTTACAAAAAGCCAGGAGCAGTATGGTTTTGATTTGTAGATACTTTCGAGTAGTGCCACCGACCTGTAGCACAGAAAATCATCAGGGTTTGGAGAAGAGCAGAAACATTTCTAGCACTAGGAGCACAAACGCACACTTCTGTAAAGCAGCTGAGATTCCTGAGTGTTCTCAAAGTAAGTGGATAAGAATTACAGTTCAGATTTATAAGCCAGAGGAATACGGAGCCTCTTTCGAGAGAATTTTGTTACTTGGTCACAGTAACTGCAATAACTGGTGATTTTCACTACTGCTTAAGTTAAACAGGTAGAAGAAATTGATGACAAATTTACTCACCTGAAAATGATCACTGATTGGTTGATTAACCCCCACCACCCAACTGATGGATACTAAAGATATTTGTGTCTTTCAGACAAATGGTCCAAAATAATAATAAGATCCTACATGTACCTTAAGCCCATCTACACCAGTCTGTTCATGGACGTAAAGCACAGGAGACACAAACATATATTTTGAGGCAGTTATGTGTTTGCAGCTTACTTGCCCCCTTAAGGTCGGAGTTAATGGGTCAATAGTAAGAAAGAGACTGGGTGAAAGACTCATCTCCCATTCTCCAAAAACATGTCAGTAATCCCCCAAGACTGAGTTAAACCTTTAGACTTTTTGGAAGGTTTGTGACCAGTTAGATCTGGTGCAAAAACCTGTGACAGCATTTCACAAAAAGAACATACCAGCAGTCAAACAGGGCCGAATAGGTTTAGATAATTTGTTTTCTCCCTTTAATAAATGAAATCATGATTTAAAAACTGCATTTTGAATGTATTCAGGTTATCACTGACACATATATGTCTCATGTTCTCAAGTCTTTTGATAACAAGAAATGCTTAAGTCTGACAAATATACAAAAAAATAGTCAGAAAGCGGACAAATACTTTTTCACATGATGTGACAGGAAACATAAAGGTCTTTTATTTGAAGACCAGTGTGTTTTGAAAAAATGTCAATAGGCATTAGTCAGCTAATGTCATTAGTTATGCATTTTTTTTCTTGGTTAAAAATAAGTTTTCTTTTGTCTGCTTGTATTTGAAAGACTTGTTTTTTATCTTCTCAATACCACAATTGGGAATAATCCATCCTCTCCCCTTCAGCGTGTGTAGGACCTCTTCCAGGTGAAATTCCCTTCTTGTGCATCCATGGCGCATTGATCAGCAGCCTGTGGTCTTGGTCTTCTCATCTCTGTGGCTTTTCTCCTACGAGCAGGAGCCATGCTCCAGCCCCTCAGCCTAGCCTGACTATTTTCTTCCATTAGAGCACTCCAACTCACCCTGTTCCTCTCATCCCCACGCAGGAATTCAGCTACGACCCTAAAGTACTCCAGAATTGAGATATGACTCCACATTTCTCCCCCCTGCTCCTCCAGAGCAAATCCACAATGCCCTCCCCTGTCTGTCAACATCAGAAAGAAATACGGATTGCTCATAAAAAGGGGAAGGGGCAAAGTGGAGGCAGGCGGGAGGAGAGGGTCATCACTGCTGCATACACAGAGCACAGGGACCGCCACCTCATCTGCATCTCTCAGTGGCTCGTTTCTCTCCCAGTAGCTTTCCCAGTCCTTGGCTGGGTATGCCCTCTCATCCAGCGCCCAGGCTGCTGAAGATGCCAGGCCCCACTGGGAGTGAGATCTTGAGCTCAGTCCAGAATTTAAAGGGCTTAATTGAGGCTGAGCTGGAGAGCAGAAAAGTGCTTCCTCAAAGTCCCTGAGGGACGAAGAGCTGAGGGCCCGATCCACATCCCGGACGCCTCTGAAGGAACTCGCATATCTTATAAAGAAAACCAACAAAAGAAAGATATCATATCCATGCTTCATTTATGTCTGTGCTATAACACTTTTACTGTTCTCACCTTCTGAGCTGCTGTTTTCGGTGAAACAGTGCCCCCCAGCGGTAAATAGGAGGCATAGGCGTTTCAAACCACAGTTGGCCGAGAAGCACAGGTGAGATTGCTGCTGCTGCTGTCAGGTACGTGCTCGATCCACACTCCCCCAAATATGAAAGAAGAACCCCTGAGCCTGACCCCTCACTCACTGCAAAAAGCACAGAGGACGGGTGGCGGCTGTGGACATAAGCCACCGCCTGATCACGGAAGACATGAAAGATAGTGACACTGTGAGATCATGGTCAAAACAGAAATAAGTGACCGGTATCGATTTTACAACAACATGTCTAACTCAGTGTTCGAATTAGTTTCTTGAGGGATTTGATGCAGACGTGAATATTATCCTGGGAATAAATCTATATATATATATATATATATATATATATATATATATATATATATATATATTTTTTTTTTTACATTTTTTAAACCCAATTTTTCTATTTTGTTTTTAGTTCTTTCTCTTTATTATTTTTATTTATATCTTTTGAAACCCACAGACGATTCTGTTGGTATTCCTTAGTGTGTGCACCTTGGACACTGTAGTGACACCAGAGGGACAGAGCTGCAGGTGCACCTGACGTGCATAACCTTTGAACCATATGACCACTGGCTGAAAATGAGCTACTGTTGGAATTTTTGATTTAAAAAAATTAATAACTAAATATTTGCACACCTACACCAAAAAATAGGGCAGGTGCTGGGCCATAAAAGAGTCAGAGCAATAAATATGCTAATTTAGTAGCAGTGTGCCAGCTGTTGGTATTTTTCACATACACAGTTGAATTTTTTTTGCTCACATTTCTTAAATGTTCGTCATTCTGCATTTTCTAAAAGGTTTTCTAGACCATTTTTTTCAATCTGCATCAGGCAGATGATCTTCAGAGAAAATATTGCAAAAAACCAACAAAAAACTCCCAAAAACAAAAAAACAAAAAAGTTTCAACTGTAACTAAAAAAAAGTTGAAATGCTTTGTAAAATTCACAAAAGCAAAAAAGGTTTGCAAATCTCATGAATGTATGTTTTCTCAGAAGGTCATACAAAAACATATGAAATGTTTAAACTGAGAAAATGTGGCTGAAGCATATACTTGTGTGTGGGAGACTTTCAGTTGGCCTTGAAATGACTCCAATCGTCAAGTGACTCAGCTGACTTGTTAATCACTGAGGGTGAGGCCACTCAGGTAGTTTAACTCTTATGTGGCCTTGCCTCTGGGGTGGACAAGGTTCAGCCTGTGTTCCTAAAAGCTACAGGGCTGAGCACTCCTGAGCTTCCCTGTGAAGGCTTACACCAGGGAGCCAGTGAGCAGAGTACATCCAGTAGTTGAACCTGTGATTCAGAAGGAACAATCCATCTCTCACCTCTCGATTCTACTTTTTGCACATTATGTGGTTCTGTTTCAGCAGGTGGTGACCTCGAGCTCGCACCAGAGTGGAACTAAAAGAATGAGATTGTGGATAGAAACAGCAGAAATGGGCTTTCTCTGACAGGCTGGGCGCAGCCTTAGCGATAGGGTCAGAAGTTCAGTCATTTGGGAAGGGCTCAGAGTGGAGATGCTACTCCTCCACATCAAAAGGTGCCAGCTGAGTTTGTTTGGGCATCTAGGATACTTCTTGGATGAGGCTTTCTGGGCCTATCCTACCTGGAGATAGCCCTGGGGTAGATACACTACATACTGAAGAGTTTATGTCTCTCGGCTTGCCTGGGAATGCCTCAGTGTTCCCAGGTGTTGAAAATGAGCTAACATCAGTTTTAAATTGATGCATTTTCTCAGTTTAAACATTTGATGTGTTCAATTGTCTATTGTGAGTAAAATATGGATTTATGAGATTTGCAAATCGTCACACTCAGATTTTACTTACATATTACACACTTATTCGAATTGAAATTTTCAAATGCATCCATACCTCAAACACAAACAAGCAAAACCAAAAGCAAGCACAAATGTCCTCACAACCAACACAACGGATCTTTTTTTCGTTCTTCTTTTGCTTTCTTTTCTTTCCTTTCGTTTTTATGAATGGCACAAAAATGATGTCAGACAACCAAGCCGTGCAAAACAAACCAGTTGAACAACCGAATGCATTGTTCTAAGTGAAAGTATATCTCAGCCAGACTGCTTCACGTACTAAAACATGTATTCTTACTGGTCCTGGCTGTCATGCCTTTAACACGATCAGATCAAGTGCCTATGGAAACCGTGCCGTAGCCCTTCAAAGGTATTTAGACCTACAGTTTTGTTTTTTGCTGTTTCCTATCCTGTCTGGCAGCTTTTGCAGTCTCAGTTATGATCTGAATGCACTGCTATGCCAAACCCATTTTGCTTTTTATAAATTCTCTATACGGTCCCCTTGTTTAGGAGAAAATATGGAAAGATGTAATAAAAAAGTACAAATAGTAATGCACAATATATATCCAACTGCCGCACCTGTAA